CAAATGTATAAAAATAATAATATGTATATTTTTATTTACTAGCTTAAAATATATTAATGTAGCTTATTCCGATATAAAAAACTTAATTTTTAGCTTATTTTTGATATCAATAAAAATATCAAAAAACAAGATCGACTACATCATATGGGTGAGCACGATAATTATAAATACTGTACTTGAGCTATTAATTTTCCTTTTTTTTAAAAAAAAAAAAATAGATATTTTATTTTGAAACATTGAAAGGAAACAATTATTATATTACAAACAAATCTATAAGTATATGCGTTCTAACTTAGCTGCAGGAGGTGCAATGGCGGATCCTTTAGTTAGTTAAAAAATCATCTAAGAATTCAAATTCAATATTCTTTAATAAGCGAGATGTTCATCTGACACAGTGTCTCTATTGTTTTCCAAAAAAAATTTTCCACATCGTAAGATACAACGTGTGCATAATGACTAATTGTAAAAGCTTCGTTGGAAAATTGAGGCTTTTGAAAATATTTTTATTTGTAGGAATATCAAAATTTATTGTACCAAGAAATATCGGTGTCAGATTGTAAATGGCTTTTCTATTAACAAAATAATCATTATTCAAGATATACATTATTAATATATATATTTAGCTTCTTCCATAAGTGTATAAAAAGAAATTTTTATTTTAAACTTTACCTCATCTAAAAGAGAAGGAATGCCTATTTTACCTTCAATCAAATCGATACATGATTGACTATCACTGAAGTCAATGTAGAAGAACAGCACAAGATTAAAAGTTTGCCATTGAATCTGAATTGTTATCACTATAGTGGATAAAGCTTTCTGCGTGATCTCAAATTATGCTGCATCATCAATACCCGGAATAGTGCTATGATCACCAAGTTCAAGATTCTTTTTTTTTCTGATGGTGAAGCATCAGTGCAAAATTACCGAATATATTTTTTTAGTTATACCCAAAATTTTTCTTGAAATAAAAGTTTATTACTTGATACGGTTACTATAAAATTGTTATTTATATTATGTATACGAGTGACAATAGTTTTCGGTCAAATGGCTTTCGGTCAAACGTCAGGATACATAAATAGGGTACTGGCAGTTTTACTGGCACTACTAAAATTGTGAACCAAATGAAAGTAAAGTAGAATTAGTGTGTATAAAAATAACAAACCTAATATTTCACAAAATAATGATCTATATTACCTTTCGCCCGATACAACAATTATTTGATTTTGGTTTCCCTAAGCATCGCGTTGTTTCAATGAATCAAGTTCAGATTGCATATTCGATAACAACTGTTATATAGAACGCGAACGCGATTTATTTAAAATGCATTTTACCCAAGTGGGACTTTTAGGTCTCACTTTTTTATTCACCATACGTCTCCATTTCCCAAGAAAAATATATTTGATAACATGTATATAGAATTTTCATCTCGAATCCTTTATTGATGCAGTATATAAATTACATGATTGTATGAAATATGGACTTGTTTTAAAAAGTGAAATGACGTTTCTAATGCCTATAGACCCACACCAGTGTTTCGTTCATCTAAACCAGTGATGTGCATTTATGACTTCCAATAGTAAAAATTTGATTGGAAGCTTCCAATCCAAATAATTTTATTAATAAATTGTGCTTCCAAACCTTCCAAAGGTGCTTCCAATCTTCCAAGTGCACATCACTGATCTAAACTATCTATACTCACAATATCCTCTAATCCGATTTCATATATTCTGGATAGAATAAAATGTTCATCAGTTATGCAAAGAACATGCAAAGTCAGAACTATTTTGTCCTTAGTAAAACTCACCGGAAGTTTATGTTCTCCGCTCTCAATAAGGTACGAAATTTCTGAACAAAAAATAGATGTTAGCTTTGCAAACTCAGAGTTGCCCCCTTGCAAATGCACAGCAACAATCGAAAAAATATATTTCATTCATACCTTAATTGCGAAGTGTCTCGCGGACTTCAATAATAACACTTCTTTCAAACTGCGATAGGTCGGTTTCTTTTTAACGAGTTCATAACGTTTATGCTTGGAGAAGTATATTGATTTATCTCAAATACGGCCAATCACATGATCGGAAATTCTTTGGAAATTTCTGACATATCAATGCGTATTACTGTACTAAACTTGGCACAGTCAAAATTTCTGGAAAATTCGAGATTTTTAATTAAAATGATTATTGCTTTTTTTGTTTCGCGTTTACTTGTGTATTTACTTTTATTTTTTCATTTCATTATGAGTGTCGCAACAGAAGGCGTAGAAGAAACGTTACTCAAAGTGACTCGAGAAACAAGGCAAACCTTCAAAACTACTCGTGTAAATTATGTTTAATACTGCTTAAGAAAAATAACAAAGGGTATGACTAATGAGTAGCGACTACAATAGATCTGCGCAAAATTGATGAATTATTGGAGAATATGCATAAAGTTGATGTCGTTGAGATCAACCTTCCTGATGAACTAGGTATGAACAATGCTGACGCACACGTACTCGAAGCGATACATTCGATATATCTCGCTGACAGAATCGGAAACAAGTTAATTATTATGGTATGCCTAAATATTGTCTACACACCTATATATCATTTATTCATCTCGGGAATTTTATATTAATACTTTAATACGAAGGGCCTAACAAAGAAAGCATCCATTGGCAACTTGTAAACTCAGCTAAAACATTCAATACAGCTTGGTATTCAGCAAGTAATGCAATATGTGTTGTTGGAGATTCAGAACGTCGACCTGACGTTGGTATTTGGTTTATAAGGCCAACGCAAGCGCAACGCACACATCCGATTATTAATCAATTCCACCTCCGGATGTGTGGATTGGGGTAATTGTATTAAATCTCTATCAAGGAAAATGTAAATGTTCTAACTTATTAGCCCTGAAATCTGCAGGTTTTTTTTTGATAAAGAGTCAATAATAATCATCACTATTTGATTGGAATTGAATATTTGGAATTGCTATACCTGAAAACCACTCGCCGGAACCAAACCCCGGACAAGATTCAACTGCATTAGTTCTACAAAATAACCAACCTAACAAACCTCCATATGGTATTTATTGGGATACAAATAGAAACCCTCCGGTTTATTTTACAAATACATTTTGAACTTGCGTGTGGTTTGAGTGTCAATTTCAATATTATACTAAATGAAATTCTTTAAGCATAACGATTACTATCTAGAACTTGTTGCATATTATCATATTGCAATTATAATTTGCTTTAATTGCTCTAAAGTTGGATTTTCTTCAATTTTAGAATTAATTTCTAGAAATTGGAATAATTAATTAATATAATAATGATAAAGATGATAGTAAAAGTTATATATGTACAAATTAATAAAAATCAGCATACGAATTGATATTATTACTCTATTTTTTTTTTTTATAAATATCATGCAAAAATACAAAAGTTAGAAGCTTACGTTTCTACAATAATTACTGCGAACTATTTTTTGTAATATCCTTCTCAAAGGCGCCATTAAGGTAAACACCAACTGTTTAAAAAAATTATAAAATAAATTTGATTTCGAATTGACAAAATGATTATAATTTCTACAACGAATTAGATTTTTATTTTAAAAATACGTTTCAAAAAATGAAAAAAATTTGCTGCCGAAGCAGGTGAATCACAGGATTTGTATACATCGGTCAATAATAACTTTTCTTAAATAAGTATTGTTTACGGAAAGCATTTTTAATCAAAATGCCACCTAAGTCAATGACGAAGATATTAAAATCAATCTCTATTTTGTATTATTAGATTCATTAACATTAATTTAAAAGTCATTTTCACTTCCAGCACAATAAGAGCAAGTAAAATGAATTAATTCCGATTCCTAAAAAGAATAAAAAGAATCAATTTCTGACTTAAGGTCTCGACATTTCTCAGAAAATAATTTGTCTTAAATTATATTGTATTGTACTTTACCTTCGCATATTTTAATTCAACTATTAAAATTTACTTGTGTAATTCTTGTTATGCAACAAAGCCATTTGGACACTATGTTGTAATGATTCTACGAAATATTGAGAATTGTATCAAGTCGATGAACGAATTTCAAACAAGGGAAGACTCATTATAAATCATCAGCAATGACGTTAAGAGTCTACGTAAGGTTGAGAACGATAAAAAATTAGTAAAGCTTATAAGTAACTGTTAATATTATCACACAAGAATTCGTATATATGTACTACCGTTTTACGAAGCTAATATCTAGGCTATGCTAAAGCGTAATATGGAGATTGCTAACACACAGTAGAGAAAACATTTGGCGATATTTCATTATTTAAAAACCAAGTTTATAGAAATTATGAATGGTATTATAAATAACTTCTTTTAACCTCGTATTTTTTCATTCTTACCTAAATTCATTTCTCGTAAGGGAAGGACTACAACCACATAATCTTTCTTGTAAAAAGAAGTGTTCTCTGTGCCAAATATTGCTTCTAAAAAAAAATCTTATACTATATTATTTTTTACATATTACAAAAAGAAGAGAACTGGAATAAGTAGATCGGTTTAAAATCAAAACATAGTAAATCACACACATATTGATGAGGACTTCAAAAAAAAGGTTAAGCTGTCAGATGATTATTCTCAATGGATGATATCATGCACTAAATGCATTTGCAAACAATCATTGGTACAAGTGATTCTTTACGACTACAGAAGTACAAATAGCAACCTGCAGTTGACGAACAAACAAACTATTCTATTGTTTCTATTGTTTATTTATAAGAAAGGCTTTTTTTGACGTAAATATCTTTTTAAAGAT